TTGAAACCGACATTTTACCCAGTTACAACAGGGTGATGAGAAGTAATATCGGTAATGTTGAATGGCTTGAATTGGTTATAACATTGCTAACTTGAGTAATAACAGTAAACTTATAGCAATCCCAGCGAAATTTCCAAGTCCAAAATATTACTGTTATCAACCCATTGAAACCGACATTTTACCCAGTTACAACAGGATGATAAGAAGTAATATCGGTAATGTTGAATGGCTTGAATTGGTTATAACATTGCTAACTTGAGTAATAACAGTAAACTTATAGCAATCCCAGCGAAATTTCCAAGTCCAAAATATTACTGTTATCACCCTGTTGAAACCGACATTTTACCCAGTTACAACAGGGTGATGAGAAGTAATATGGGTAATGTTTAATGGCTGAATTGGTTATAACATTGCGAACTTGAGTAATAACAGTAAACTTATAGCAATCCCCGTGACATTTTCAAGTCCAAAATATTACTGTTATCACCCTGTTGAAACCGACATTTTACCGAGTTACAACAGGGTGATGAGAAGTAATATGGGTAATGTTGAATGGCTTGAATTGGTTATAACATTGCGAACTTGAGTAATAACAGTAAACTTCTAGCAATCCCCGCGAAATGTTCAAGTCCAAAATATTACTGATATCACCCTGTTGAAACCGACATTTTACCGAGTTACAACAGGGTGATGGGAAGTAATATGGGTAATGTTGAATGGCTTGAATTGGTTATAACATTGCGAACTTGAGTAATAACAGTAAACTTATAGCAATCCCAGCGAAATTTCCAAGTCCAAAATATTACTGTTATCACCCTGTTGAAACCGACATTTTACCCAGTTACAACAGGGTGATGAGAAGTAAAATGGGTAATGTTGAATGGCTTGAATTGGTTATAACATTGCGAACTTGAGTAATAACAGTAAACTTATAGCAATCCCTGCGAATTTTTCAAGTCCAAAATATTACTGTTATCACCCTGTTGAAACCGACATTTTACCGAGTTACAACAGGGTGATGAGAAGTAAAATGGGTAATGTTGAATGGCTTGAATTGGTTATAACATTGCGAACTTGAGTAATAACAGTAAACTTATAGCAATCCCCACGAAATGTTCAAGTCCAAAATACTACTGTTATCACCCTGTTGAAACCGATATATTACCGAGTTACAACTGGGTGATGAGAAGTAATATGGGTAATGTTGAATTGCTCCCCCCCCCCCCCCCCAAATCACAGATCACACGTCACAGATCGCACAAAATCTATCCAATGAGAACTCGAATCCGTCAGCCCCAGCGCCTGTTATGTTGCAGGCCAGGCGGCGGGGTGGGTGGGTACCAGTGAAACGATGGAAAGCGCGGGCCTTATGTAAGTCCGCGTGACCGTACCGTACCGGCGCCTGCCACGTACGTACCACAATTTCTGCAAGGCGGTGAGTTCGTGCAGTTTTAAAATTGAAGTTGCAAGGATCGGATTGATCGTTTTTAACCCCCAACTCCAATTATAAGGTAAGAATATTATGATTTTCCGTATTCGCAAGGAATTGAGGATGAGCTAGGCAATTTTTGGATGCTCGACATGTCATGTTTAACACGTTAAAAAATAAAGGCATATTTGTGACTCGGCCAGTGGCAGTGCCCCACATGTTGACGGCATGCACCATGCTTCCTATTGATGGCGCTTACAAATTACAAATCAGTCTCAAATAAATCCGTCAACATCCTTGACATAAATGATTACTTTGGGTTTTTTTGTCTTCATACTACAAATATGGTATATGAACTACTTCCCTGCACAGAGATTTCTCATGTAAAACTGCATTTCAATGCCGTATTTTATGGTGACATTTACGAAAATTGAATGTTGGACACCGTCAAGCACCGTCAAGACAATCGTCTTTCCGACCGACATTTACCAACTATTGAAACCAAAAGCTAATTATAGCTGAAATATGGTCGGTATAATTATCTGTTAAGCAAAGAAAGGGTTATTTAACGTGGCAAACAAAGAATCTTCCAACATTTCCAAAGAGCCGTGAGATTAGACGCCATCTTGTTTTCCTGAGGCTTTGGAAGGAATGTCCTATTATTTATCCAAGGGTAATATTTTCCGGTCAGGTTTGATTAAATAATAATATAATTTTGAAAAGAAATTAAAGCTAATTAGTTTAATTGCGTGGGCCTAGAAGAAATGTTTAGAAAAAAATATTTTAAATGCTTTTCTTTCAATAAATAAATAGGCCCCCCTAGGCTTAAATAAATTAACTTTTGACAGCAGAGGGCGCTCTGTATCATTATTGCAAATGTTGTAATATCTGTCATAAAACTGACATATTTGTAAATATTTGAGCTACATTGAGCTTTTGGTGTCAATAATTGGGGTAAATTTTAAACGTAACGAAATGGTCTTGACAGCAATGGACCGATCCGAATTTGGTCATAAGCCCCGCCCACCTTAGCAACGGCATGGCAACGCCATAAGCTCGGTCAAAGTCAACAAACTTTGTGTGTGTACCGTACGTGCCACGTACATGTAAACCTACGCTATATATAAACATTAACAATGGCGACCGGAAGGAATGTCAGCGGTACTTTAAATCATTTCGGAGAGGAGAAATAGAAAACGGGAGAAACTTAAATTAGAGTACAATTTCCTCAAGAGTGCGTTTGTGCAAGAAGTTCTGTTTGGAGTTTTGAAGGATGGCCAGACAGGGGAAATACTTGGTCGACAAACATGACAGAAGAATGCATGAAATGAAGGTCGGAAGCGGCGTGTCATCGACAAAACACAGCCTAGGCCTAGCCTAGCCCTACAAACATGGCGGTATGTGGCTCTCTTTTAAAATCTGTCTTGTTACTGTCGCCATTACCGCCATGCTCCGGCGCGAGCCGTTAACACCAAGTATCGACTGCCGAAATCCCAGAAAGTTTGACTCCAAATATCTTCCGAAATACATAAGACAGAACCCTTTCACATATACCATCGTGCTCGTGAGATTTTTGTGTTTTATAAATAATGGTCAAACTTATCGAAGTCGTAAATTTGTCCATGTTTGGCGCTTGACAAACTGGGCAAAAATCCGACGTTATGGCATGTATGGTTGGGCGCCGCCATCTTAGTTTCATCTGCTCGTGAGAAGCCGCGGTGCCTAATTATTCATGCATAATTCATAATGACGTCGCACATGTTGATTCGTGCACTGAGACTGCCGAGTCACGCGCTGCACGCGTACATGGCATTTACCGTATACGCGTGACGTCATTATGAATTATGCATGAATAATCGGGCACCTCGGCTTTTCACGAGCAGATGAAACTTTGGCGGCGCCCAACCAACATGTCATAACATTGTCAGAATTTTGCCTAGTTTGTCAAGCGCCATACATGGACAAATGTACAATTTCGGTAAGTTTGACCGTTATTTATAAAACACTAGAATCTCACGAGCACGATGGTATATGTGTAAGGGTTCTGTCTTCTGTATTTCAGAAGATATTTGGAGTCGAACTTTCTCGGATTTCGGCAGTCGACACTTGGTGTTTACGGCTTGCGCCGGAGCATGGCGGTAATGGCGACAGTAACAAGACAGATTTTAAGAGAGCCATACCGCCATGTTTGTAGGGCTAGGCCTAGCCTATCGTAAATTTTTAGCAGGTGAGCCTGAGTTTTGGGAATTACTTTCTTCGTATGTGTCTAAAACAAACTGCATGTGAAAGCATAGAAGAGCCTTCGGATTAGTTGCCACAGTGCTGGATAAAAACTCTGTCACTCAGCCTAACGTTGGTGGTTGGGCCTGTTCGGAAAGGTGATCATGCTGATATGATACTGAGAGCCTTGGCCTAAATATTTTGACAAAACAATGACAATAAATATCCTTTTCCAAGGCTTCGATCTGAGTGAAAAAATCTATGCTAGTGACATGTTAAAACATAACTGTGTACGAGTACGAGAACATTGTTCAAGCCTCAAGGTAACGTCCGGCCTTTTATTTTTTAGAAGACGGAAAATAATTTAATTCGGTTTATCTTTGTAAACCTACAACAGTGTCTGATTTGCATGTTCCACAGCAGCATATTTTGTCCATATTTTTAAAGAATCGTATACAGATGGGACTCACAAAACCGCATTTTATGTCTAAAATACCGTGCGCAGCTCCATAGATCCCATGTGTTTGTATGTACTTTTCACAGCGCATGTGACCGAGTTTGACCGACCTAATGGCGGACACGCCTATGGCAACTGTTGTTAAGTCACCTGACCAAAAGTCGTAATCTGATTGGTCAATGCGCGCTGTATGATTGACAGGCCGGAAGGGTCCATTGATGGTCATGACAGTGCTTGACGATGGTCTTGATGGTTCTTGACGGTGATTAGTATGACCCCATTGGGCCACATACTACATAGGGGACTGACATCATCCCATTTACATGATGTAGGAAAAAATGTTGAACCTTCAGCGTGTGTTCAGGGCTTTTTTTTTTTTTACAAATTTCACCAAATGGGGATCAAATGTAGCGCCGCCATCGGCGGCTCGCGTGAATCTGCCTTATTGAATTGCGTGAGGAAAATTAGTTTCCTGAAGACTTGAACAGCCTGAATCCTGATGTCACTCTTTTTCGGATTTTAATCGGAAAACCAACTTTGAGACTTTTCCAACAAAATTTCTGATTATTTTTTAAGAAAAATATAAAAATAAAAATTTGGACGTTGTAGACCTACATTTTTTTTTCAAAGATTTCTAGACATGTACATGTCAGGATGTGTACAACTAGATTTCCAGATACAGTACATGTATATTTCATACTTTTTAAAGAATATTGTAAATTAATTACTTCAAAATGTAAAACTCCTGCAGTATAATATCGCAGACGTAAATGTACAGGTATAGGAAAGCATATTGTGACCATTGGCATGACCGGTTGCTGCCTATGATATTTAGCCTATATTGCTTTGTGTATGTAGTGTACCGGTACATGTAACAATTTCTCATGAGTTTTAGATTGGGTTAATAAATTGTCCTCCATTTCCCCCACATTTTCAGGTTCCCTTGGTGGAGGTGTGCTGTGCCTGTGGTTTTCTTGTGTGCAATATGTCTGGTCTTGGTAAGTAATGATCACCCTTGTATTTCTTGACCAGCAAGGAACTATTTTGGCAGGGCCAACTCTTCATAATTTTTTTTTTTCAATTACTTTAATTATGAAATCACTGCCAAAACAATGTGGATTTTAGAGAAAATAAAATTAAAAACTTGTCGCCAACAGTTTTTGATTTTGACAACCGCCCAAAAAACAGGGAAAAAAGTTGCATTTTGTAATTAGGACGCTTAATTAATTACTTGGCGCGGACCGATTCCCCTTCTTCTTTTTTGTGTGCGATGTCTCATTCGAAAGCTGATAACAAATACAATATGCTAGAAAATTATCAATTCAACTTGAAAAATTAATTTTCAGGGTGACACACCAACTTAAGCATAGACCAATTCGAAAAGAAGCCGTAATGGATGAGGACGAATATATCCGGAAGGAAAAGCGGCGTGAACAGAAAGCAAAATGGGCCAAGAAGAAAAGAGATGCACTGAGAATTGTTTCTGTCCTAGAAGAAGTGAGGAGAAGGCCACTCTGTGCTGATGCCCCTGGAAACAGTGCTCCCGGCCCCTCAAATCCTGTCAATGATGTATCCAGTCCAGTAAACCTTGATTCATGTGATGGCACTTCTGATGAAGAGGGCAGTACTGATCATGCCGTACATGTGGAGGTCGATGAAGAAACTGTGACCGAGGATGAATTATTTGAGAGACAGTTGCAGGAAATCTTTGGAGACTCTTCCCCTAATCCAACAAACAGAGTTTATAACGCTTCTGAAACAGGAAGTCCTGATGGTAATGCATATAACTACAGCAGCACTTCTGATGAAGATGGTGATAATGAAGAGGGTGATGATGTCACTGCAAAACCTAACGGCAATATTCGCAGTTCCGCGAGCCCTGGTTACGACACTCCTGGTCCCGCGAGCCCTAGTTACGACACTCCCGGTCCCGCGAGCCCTGGTTATGACACTCCCGATCCTGCGAGCCCTGGTTACGACACCTCCTATTTACCTCTTTTACTAATGTATAACAGAGATTTTAACACACAAATAATATTTATTTCACAAATTTATCACAACGAGGATTTTGGCCTCCAAAAATCTCAAAAATTGAATTTTTAATCGTATTGTTGCATTTTTGGCATACAAAAATTTATAGTTTTCCTTGGAAGCACAAATATTTTGTTTAGTTAACAGGCCTATTTTAAGTCAGTTTAGGTCGAGAGGTCATTGCTCGAAATATTTTTTACGGAGATATTCGGGCCGCATCGCGTGCATTTTCGCACTCGCGCTTATTGCTTAAACAGGTGGATTTCATCAGGTGAACGGGGATTTGTCCAAGATCGTCGTAAGTATAGCCGTGGTGCATAAAACCTGCATAAACGCAGACCAAATCATTGTTCCTGACTGTAGCAGCAATAAAATTACTAATTTTTAAACAAAAAACAGACATTTCGATTTTGAGTAGGCCTAAAAAAACATGACAAAACATTGAAAATATTAAACCATTTTATTTGGCCCATCTACCACGTTGTGCTGCCTGTTTCACTAAGGTTATTTATTTTTTTTTGAATTATTATGTATAGGCCTACACGGTAACTACAAAATGTACCAATAAATAATTAATCATCTGTCATGAGCCCACAACGAGAACAAATGTAGGTATTTTGGAGCAGATTAATGTTTACAAGCTGCAGCTGTTTTGGATCGGATGTGGGCTATACACCGCTGGCTAATACATGTATAGGTAGTTATACTCGTCTTACAGTTTATGAAAGGATAGCCAAGTCTTAAATATATTTAATTTCTAAAAAAGACATATTTTCATTATTTTTCTCACACTATACTGACGTTACAAACTTGTTAGGTGCATGAAAAATCCATAGGGGAAAATTCTTGTTGTACATGTACATAAAAATTGTGGACATGGTGGACTACATTTTGAATACACATATATAGAGAATATTATATCCAAACTTGCAAGAAACCTACGATTCAAAAGTGCAATGTGAACGACTTTTCCATTTTCTTCATTCTTCTCCAGGACCTGTGCATAGAGGGCTTGTCTGCACCCAATGAGATGTCATGACTGCCTTTAAGATGGCCAGGTCATCGTTGAATCCACGGATGTCCTACCTGATGTTGTTCAGACGAGCGTGGACTCCTTCTCCACCCTGCTCTCCAAGGAATCCTAAACCAAAACGCCACTGCTTGATGAATGGTATGATATGCTCCACAAGCATATGGAATTTCGGAGGGCAGGAATCTGTTGTAAATTCGACACGGAAATACTGGCAGTAGGATGTGATATCTTCTTCTGCAGTACAAACAAAATATAATTACAAATGTATTGATTGTTGTGGAAAGTGATGCATTATTCAGAAAACCATTTTTTGGGGGGGCATTACTCACCAAGTTTGTTAATGATGTCATCAGTCATGATACTCGCTGAGTTATAAACATTGTGGCATTCAGCGAACCTGGTGAAGAGGCCCTGATACTTCCCAGACAACTCTCGGGCTTTTGGGGTTATCAATGGACAGATCTGTTCTGCAACCCTTACTATCGATTAGGTTAGTTTCTTTATGTTTTCAGGCTGTAATAAAATGGTTCAAAATGATTTTTTTTTTGGTTTCTGTACAACAAGCACATTTCATTGAACAATCAACATTTGTCTTTAATTGATAAAAATGAAAAAGATTTTAAAAAGACATCGTACTTTACAGCACTTGTGTACGTGGTTGCCCACAAAACTTCCTCCGTGGTAGGCCTGTCTGCAAACTCTGATGGTTTTAAGTGTGGTATCTAGTACTCCTGCAATAGGACCTTTCCCTGTCTTCAGTGCAGTGTCCCTTGACTTCCACAATGCCTTCGATTTAGAAAGCTGTAAATGATACGAATTGACAAAGTACATTATTTTCATTATTCGTACAATTTTTTAATCACGCATTAAGCTTTAAAATGATTTAATTTAATATTTGCACTTACTTTTAAGCTATTGGCATGTGCCTCTGCCAACATCTGGACTGCCGGATCGGCTGGTTCTGTTGCCACCGCTAGTGTTGTCATCTGAAGCATCAGAGCCTGGCTGGTATCAGCGATTGCTTTGGCCTGAGCATCTTCACTCCTTGCACTGTGAGTTATCTGAACAAGATTCTTGTAGCTAGATGTGAAGGAATCATCATGATCCTTGATGTCCTGTGCTGATAGTGTTGTGCTTACTTCCATGTCAAGTCTGTGGCAATTATTTTCGAAACTATTGAAGTGTTTCATAAATAACCCAAGACTTATATGCAAGCCGGGAATGCACACCTGTAAAAGAAAAAGGTTTTCGTTTAATATGTTATTGAAGTGAGCACAGTTAATCTTACTACAGTATAAGCTTTTACATGTAATCTTTGCTTACTTGTGAAAGTGATTCAAGCTTACCTGTGAAAGTGGCACACTCATAAGTGGTTCACGAATCACATTGTGGAAGTTTTTAGCTTTTGCTGGGATGCCGCCTTTTGACCTGAATTCATCCAGTGATCTCTTCATGCTCTCAAGACTTCTTGGCTCACAATTCTTGGTGCGCATTTGGAGGGGGAGTCGCATATCTGAATATTGCATCGTACACCACAAGCAGCAGTGTCTCCCTGCAAGTGTTCACAATATTTTCAAACATAACAAAGTTGTGTCAAAAGGTTGTTTAAAGTGGGGTTTTTTTTGGGGGGGGGAATCAGTGACAGTATCAACAGTTAAGGATACAATATACAACATGTTAAAACATACCAGTAGGCCCAGTTAAGCCGTATATTTTGCAAAAGTATTTGTAGTCGCCGAAGACGAACAATTTGAATTTGCGACCCCTGTAAATGAGAGAGGTATATCATGTAAGTTAGGGAAAGGACATAAATACGCATGTAAAATTTTGTTATACATGTATTCTGTATTTACAAAATTAACATTTCTCCTTTGTTTATTCAGATGCAAACAAAACTACAAGGTATACCTCCACTGAGATGACATCAGCTGAACCACCTGCTCACGGAAGTGCATCAGCCCCAAGTCCATGTTGAACTGGCTGTCAGTGGCCTCAAAGGCACAAACAACTATTGTGTGCTGAGGAGAGTTTGGGTGCTGGAGGTTCGCCATTTGGAACATTTGCTTAAAGATTTTCCCACCTTTATCACCTCCCAGCTTGAGCCAGATCTCGTCTGCTGGTATGAGACCATCGTGCCACGTTAACTGGTCAGTCCTGAAGAGTAACAAAGGGTTTACTGTATAGTATCAGTGTATAATTTATAACCCCTCAAAGAATAAAGCTGGGTAAGAGACAAAAGTGGAACTCACTTGTCATATGCATCTAGTTGTTGATGCACCTTGTGTACAAGTGGTACACAAGGTGTGCTCTTGATTATGGACCCTCCGGTGTCTTCATCGGTGTGCTTCATCTGATGATACTCGGCCAGAACATTATTGTCGATGATTGCTTTCTGTAGTGCCCTCATCTTGTGTTCACTTGCCGTCTTTATACCATACTGGACAAGCCACCTGCAAAAGGGGTTATAAAACACAATTACTATGGATTCAAATATTTGCAGAAAGCATTTTGAATTTAAATCATGATCCATGGAGTCCATTTATTTTAAAAAAGCAAATAGAAGTACCTTTTAAGTTTTCTGTTTTTGGTCCATGAAAATCCAGGATAATTTTTCAGTGATAGCGCTTGGTTGTCTTGAACTGGTGATACTGATGGGCCTTCAATTTTTTCGATGCCGGATCATCCAAGGATTTTCTCAGTTGTTTCAAAAAGTCGCTTCCTGCGCTTATAGGTTGAAGTGGATGCCGCAGTGGTCTCCACCCGAGCACGAGGAACACATATTGTTGTCAGTGACTAGTACATGTACACATAAATGACACTGACAGAAAAACTTTACTTTAGGTGTATTAATCCCAAAAAGTATTAATCCCAATAAGTAGCTATTAAATTAAGCTAAAGCTTTACGTCAAATGGCCCCAGTACTTAAAATTATGTACATAAATATATTCTATTTCAAATATGCATGTAAATAGCCAAATGGATATTGCACCTATTTAAAAATATGGTAGTTATTCCCTTTTTAAAAGCAATGAACATAATCAAGTTATTCTAGATTTTAAAATACATTTGTTTTTGTATGTAAAATATTTTGATTTATGCATTAGTCTTAATAATGTCAGGAACTGTGATGTTCCTGGAGGGGGGTGACTACGGTAGCTCATCACCATGCTTGGGTGAAGAATTGCTTCTCCGAGGACCAACCAGTAATTGACACTCTCTTGGGTTTTCTTCAACAGTACGTGGTTTAATCGTGGTCAGTAGATAAGTCTCCATACAACCAAGATACAAGGAAAAAAACCTAATAAAAGTACAAAAATATAGGCAAGAGTTGGAGATATAATTACACCCGTGTACATGTAAAAGCTCTAATACAGTTACATTACTACAAATAAAATAGATTTTGCTCCTTCACTTACCCAACGCCAGGTGAGAAAATAACTTCTCGGCTTCTGCCTCGAGTAAGTTATAGCATGGTTATAGCAGCGGTCACTGTCTATAAAAACCCTGTATTGAAATAATAACATTTACACATATATGATAGGAGAGAACATTTAAACCCTGTATTTATGCTTTGCACATATAGCTTATGTCAATTATCTCCCTTTTGACGGTGTCAATTGTAAGTGTAATACAAGTAATGCTCTTGCACCGTACGACAGACGGCAAAGGTCCGGTCGTTATGGAAACAAGGTCACAGGTCAACTTCGAGACACACACGATGCGTATCTCACGTACGTGCATAGCAGCACACATTCGTGACATTAGGCCCTAGTCCGAAAATTTGGGACTCTCATACTGTGTATGAGAGTCCCAAAACTTAAGGTATCCATATCGTGCAAAAGTTGGTGCCGAGTAAAAAAAACCATGTGCAAGCTTCTTACTCACTACAGTTTCCTCAACGTTCCCCGAAACCTCTGCCTTGCCAAGTTGCTGTTTTGAGCATTCTATCACGGGAAATTCAGCTGATAATTGTAGTTTTGCAGAGAGTTATCGACATTCAAAGGCCAGACTAACGTTTATGTGTGCCGCATAGCATTGTAAATACCACGTGACATAACACTCCTCAGCTGAAAAAAATTCATGATGAAACAGCGCCCTCTGTTGATACATCTACACATTTACTTAAGAAATAATTCCCTCGGAGTTGCGAATATGCTACGGTGGCCCCAAATCAACATTGCAATTAAAGTGAAGTCAAGTATGTGAACGATTTGCTGGGCGAGGTTTCGTGAATAATGCAATGCATTGTAGTGTTCGATCGTAACTCTCATTTGTATTTTCCTTTGGCATTCCAGTGTATTTTTTTACAAGTCATAGTACACCATCATGTTCTCTCATGAAGATGTAAGACGTGCTTTTGCTCACCTGAATGGCAAACACAAATTTGATTTCAACGAGCTAAAATATGAGCAGGTTGAGGTAATATGCCATGTTTTAAATGGGCATGACGTGTTTTCGGTATTACCGACAGGATACGGTAAAAGCGCCTGTTTTTATTTGCCGGCTCTGCTTTTGGACAAGGTAAGTGTTTAAGGATTATCTTCAATTGCTCTGTTAATCCCGTATGCATAATACTATGTGAGCAAATTAAACTTAAATGGAAAACATTAATGCTTAATTTTGTTTTATCTGTCTTTATTTGTTCGTCCATCTTTAGGACTTTTCTGTGATGAGTGATGACATTTAACATACTTAACATGTAGTTTTAAACGGAATATACACGGTGTATAATATATATATTTGTACAAGTGCAAATGCAAACTAGCCACGGTGTCACTGCTCTGGATTTTTACTTTACAAAACTGGAACAAGTTAGCTTTATAGAAGACACCTAGTTCAATACTTAACCAATTTATAATTTCAATATTTCAAATATGAAGTCCTTCAACTTCCTGTACAATATTTAAGAAAGATTTAAATTCTAACTCATTGAGACAACCTTCACGTTCAATGCTTCCAATTTCCCCTCCATGTTCATTTATTTGGGTCATTGTTTTTGTTTGATGTTTACCGAATGCAGCTCAATGGTGGACACCACACCAGTCTGGTTATAACTCCTTTGAATGCCATAATGGAGGACCATACGGTGTACTTAAGAAAGCACGACGTTTCCGTTCACAACATTTATAATGGTGCTAACTATGGTGAGTACTTATGAAATTGCAAAGTTACATATCATAAACTCAATTTACAACTGGTATGAAATGAAATAAAAATAATAACTGTAGTCATATACGTTTACGCCTATTTCTCTCCAGACAAAGACGCAGCAAACGCCAGTGTCATCTTGGCGTCACCAGAAGCTATACTGCAAACCTCGTGGAGGCACTTACTAAAAGACAAACATATTTAATTGGTGACATATGATGAAGCCCACTGTATTTCGGAATGGTAATAATACAATTAGTGCATTAACTGGATTCAGAATTAAACAAGAATACATACATTTTGTTAACATCAAATAGGACGCTATATACAATTTATAAAAATGCACTGTTCATATTTCTTTTATGAACAATAATAGTTTACTGCAATTGCTGTCGTTACCAAATATTACGAGTGGTTTTAATAGACCTTCAGAATTACAATCTTATAATGACGTCATCAAGTCATGTTTGCATGTTTTTATTATACATTTCGTGTTGTACCGATACACAGGGGACTGGAATTCAGACCCGATTACAGGAGGGTTGCCATCTTGCCCAGCTTGATCGACTCCCCCACACTGGCATTAACAGCTACAGCTTCACCAGAAATCAAGGATGACGTATACAAGGTCCTTTCTTTGAAACGCAATACAGTGGTCGTTTCTGTCTCGCCTGATAGGTGAAGTTTCTGTTAATATGATTATTCCAATTGACTTGTTTATGGGTTTTTTGGTAACAATTGAAAACAAAATTGATTAAAACATGGGTATAATGAAATTATGCATTTCAATATGACGCAGATAATAGTCATAAGAATATAATTTGCCAAAAACGTTAGTTGCAGATAACACTAATAATCGTTTTATTGAATTTTAGTGGCCTTTTTTTTTTTCAATTATTGTTTTCCCACGTTCAGATTGTTAAATGAATTATATTTACATTTTCCATGCACAGACCTAATGTGTATCTATGCGGCAGCCATACAACGGAAAAATATGAAGATCATCTTCAGTGGCTGCTGGATGACGTAAAAGCGCATGGATACGGGATGAAAAAAACCCTAATATTTGTAAATTCAATGAAAGTGTGTTTTAATATTTTCATGTGGGGCTCCAAGTACATCCAGGCAAATACAAATTTGAAATTGTCAAAGGCGGACCGAATAATGGAAATGTTCCATGCCACAACCGACGTGGATACCAGGCATAGGATATTGATGAACTTCAAAAGTTCCGATTCCAAGCTTAGAATTATAGTATGTACAATAGCCTTTGGCATGGGTGTAGAAATCAAGGACGTACGAATTGTTGTTCACTGGGGCATCCCACACACAACAATGGCTTACTGGCAGCAGGCCGGTAGGTGTGCTCGCGATGGGCGAAAGGGCATTTCAATATCATACGTATTTCCCCGCAGTTTAACAACTTGCAAATCTGCTACTCTTAAAACGATTTTCAGTGAAAGAAACTGTGTTAGGTGGCACATCCTGAAGGAAATTTCTATAGATGAACTGCCTCACAACAAGAAGCGGAGTTGTGCAGGTTTATGCTCTGGCATTTGTGACTGCGAGCATTGTCGATGCTGTTTCAACTGCAGAAAGATTTGTAAATGTCCTGCAAAGATTTGTAGCATAAATGATATCATTAATGCACTGCAATAGGCCTAAGTGAATAAATCTGACTCCTGAGAGAAACTTCTATCAGAGTTACACTTGTTGTCTTTACTGTTTAAACATCCGATGTAGGTATTGACGAGTTTTTAAGCTTGGTCACTTGAATTAAGGGGTTGGGGACAGAGGAAGAATAGGCAAAACGTATACGCATAAAAAAAATTGTATTCAAATAAAAAGTGTTTCCATTTGCCCAAAGTTCAAACCACTTTTTACAAAATTGAACCTCTCAGCGACAACCACTACTACTGGAAAGCATTCATCCTATAATCTTATATCTCTAATAGACATGAAAACTACGACGCCAATTGGTTATGTGGCACTGCTCATGTCACGTGACTCACACGATATGCGCTGACAGGCATCTGCCAATTATGGGCGGGGCGTGCATTTAGGGGTGCAGACCAGTGAGTCGGTCCGAAATTGCCTACGCCGGCCAAATTTCACGATTGGCATGTCCTCGAAATCTTCAGTATTTGAGCATGCTGTGGGCCATGAACAAGAGGCTTTGACAAAATATGAGTGGGAGCCGTGCACAGGACTGTGAGCTTGTACTCCGTTAAATTTGCATGAAATTAGGGCCCTAAAAGCGCTCTATTTTGCAATGGAGTGTAGGCATCGTTTTTCAACATGGCGATTGGCTTCAGGACTATTTAAAGGGGTGATCTTCTTCAGATGGAAATTTCTCCTCAAAGTTATCAGTTGACCACCCCCCCCCCTGTAAATTGAGAATAAAATGAAAGATGATGAAATAAAATTTAATTTGACATGGATCTCTAACACCTTGGAGAGTTGTGAGTATTTTTCCCGAATTTCTGAAGTGGGAGCATTTATCATTGAGGTCGATGGAAGTTTATTTACTGGTCTGCAACCTTAGCAAAGTTGCCGAAATTACGGCACATAACCATTGGCAGTGTTGTATTCCAGTATACCGAGTACTGCGGAGTACTTAGGTTGCTGAATACGAGAACTAGTACTTATACCTCCGAGTACAAGAACGGGTCTACGAGTACGAGTGCGAGTATTGTACTTCCGAGGGGGTGTACAAGTACTTGTATTTCCGAATACAGCCATACGGCAAATGGTTCGTTGTGCGCAATTGGCCTTGGCCCAGTCAGACCGATACAGACCCACACGCGGCTGGCTGTTAATATGTATGTCCGGACGTGCACAAAGGAGAATCAGGAAACTTAGGTTTCTCAGCAAGCCAATGAACCATTTCGAACTGAAAGTATCGAGGGCCGTGGTATATAGTCAAGATACATGTTGACCATTTTCCCCCGAGAACTCCTATTAACTCAGAGTACGAGTACTTTGACATTCGAGTACTAGTACGAATACTCCAAAATAGGACTCGAGTAGTACTACCAGTACTACAACACTGTGACCATTGGAAACGTTAGGGTGCAGAGTACACAAATAATTATACACTACGAGAATGGACACACGCCCCAATAAAATGAGGGAGACATTTATTATTGATTAAGAGATTCTACAAGATGACTCCTGTCTGCCATGCTCTCTGTTAATTTGTTGAGTTTAGCCTTCAACTTGGCAGGCTCTTCCAAAGGAGGTCGCTGGTGTTGAAACTGTGGAAAGGAGTCATGGGCCCTTCCAGGGATGTTGTCGAATGAGTTGTAGTCCAGTACCATTTTGATGAGTGCTTGGGTGTCTGTTGTTCTGTCTGGTGATGATGTGGCTGACTGGGGACTTCTGGTTGAAGTCAACTCATCATACAGATTGGACAGTGACTGTCCAATGCCGATGATTTTGCTATGCCTATTTATTGTTGCGGATGTCAGCTTCCCACGACTTACACGTACATTTTCTGAAGAAAAAAATAAGGGTAATCGGAGTTTAAAGTAACATATAAAATTAGATAGATAAACAACAATATTATCAGTTTATTTTTGTCAGTAATGAATGAATATTTAATTCAAATCAAACCACAAATCATTGCCTACCTTTGTAGGTTTTGTTCAGCATCTCCATCTGGAGGTCCATGGCAATATTCCTGCCAGGGCATCCAGATGGATTGACGGTCCTATTCCACACCAGTGTCTTTGCAATCCTGTCAGAAAAGGCCCCATTTACTCCCATGAGTAATCGGTGGGCCAATACCATGTACTTGTTGTGGGTTCCCGTGAGGAACGTAACTAGATCTGACTTCCAATGTGCGATCATTCGGTTGCCGTCGTTTTGGCGAATCGCATCTCTTCGAATGAGGAAGTTGAGGCCATGGAAAATGACACTTTTGTTGTACTCGCGCACTCGGTCGATTTTGGCTTGTTCGTTTGTCTTTGTCTGTGAGATGAATCATTAAAAACGCTATAATTTTTATATATATCATCTTTAAAAGAATATTAAACAAGATAAATGAATGTCGATATGATATAGATCGCATATTAGGTTTTAGTTACCTCTCTTTTACAACTTTTCTTCTTCTTGTGCGATGATGCACGACGACACTCTGTGGAACAATACCACTTTCCTTTTGGGACTCTGTCCTCAGGAATGCCTACACACTGTAGATGGAACCACGATCCTTCCTGGCAATGTGTGTTGTCACAACAGATCATAGTTGTTTCTGTAAAATAATTGACATGCATACTGAAAATGAATAAATAAATAAATAAAAAGTAGGTGTGCTAAAGAGAATTTCATTTCTGATTCAATGTACTCTATTGTAAAATGTAATTGTTCCAATGAATCATTAAGGGGAAACTGAAATATACTAAAATAATTTTTGTGTGCTTGAGTTTTGAATCTTAATAAGTTACTTTAATTAAAATTACCATCTACGTAGTCTTTGCAAACACAGTAAGGGGAGTGGAGGATGTTTGCTGCCTGGCTGGGCAGGAAGACATCGTCGACTATTTGACGGGATATGGACGTTACATATTGGACTTGGTCTTCTTTTGAGGAGGGGATGTCCAGAGGCTGATGAGAATGTTGGGATCCGACTAGATGTAGAGCGTACGCTGCTATAAAACCGTGTGTGGCGAATTCCAAAAACTCGGCATTGAAGTTGTAACTCTTCTTGACCGTGGCAGTGACATTGTGGTGGCCAAACACATTTCTGAGGTGGAATAATGTCATCTTGTCTTTGCCGCTGGTTGAGTTGTATAAGTGGTTGTAAATGTCCTGGGATAAAAAAAGATATATCAAAATTATATCTTAATAATTATTTTGAGCTGGAAAATCATAAGTTCGGGGGATTGTATTTTAACCGTATAGAATTATCAATAAGTTACCTGTAAAATGATGACTTGCTTGTGCCACTCTTGCACACAGGGTTGCAAACCCGTGAGTTGGGCCCATTGAGTCGCTCCATTGATGCGCGCATTTTGGGCATCCTTGACTCTTTCACAGCTTAACCCGTCTCCGTGGAGGATCAGGGTGCCTGGACCATCACGCTCGTTGCGTGGCACATACTTGTGGAGAGTGTCCAGAATTTCGATCATCTCGTCAGTCTTACTTTCATCCTTCTCGATTACTCCGAGGGGTACCTGGATGATTGAAAGTTGAAAATGAAGAATACCCTAATGTTATTTATATATATTTTGTTAAAATATCTCAACATTGCTATTCCATTTCATCACCAAACATCAGCAGCTTAAATACAAATTAATAATTGTTGGTTTTGCCTAAAAAATCGAACGTTACCATGTCGCTTTGCTTGGATGACTCCTCGCTATATTGGTGTACGATATCCCACTCGTTCTTGAGGTGACGTAGGGGGGTGATTTCCTGGCAAAGGATTCTTGATGTTATTATCACCATTTCATCTCTCAGCATGCACTCTTCCTGCGAACTCGGGAGAAGGTGTGAAACTGGAATACCTCTGATGGTGTCACTGTCGGGTTTGTCATTTGACAGGTCGGTGGTAGGTATCCTATCCCTGCTCGCATACATTTGAGTGAGATTTAGCTGCCGGTTTTGACGCTGTTTTGATTGGTGGCGAGCTGTTATGAAATGGTTTACGTTGTCAAAGCACAGCGAGTATCCCAGGGGTTCTATGAAGACAATTGAAAATGAAAAATATTCACAATTATTCATGATCTTTTCTGACTTCCATGCACCTTATTTTAATAGCCTCATCAAGTTCTTGTCATGCATACCCTTTTCCGTCCAAAATTCTCCTCTGTCGAACCTTGTCAAGGCATTTTTCCAACCTTGGAGTTTCTCATCATGATTGTTTGTTATTCTGTCAACTGCTTTTCTTGCTCCCGTGACACCAACGCACCAGCTCAAGTGATTGAAGCGGGTGAATACCTGTAAAGATATAAAGCGAAACGATTTACGATTAACCCTAAAAGGGCCGGGCGGAATCCCGCATTTAAGCCCGGTTCATAATTCATGCGAAAGCAAATATAATGCGTAGCGAATTTGACGTCAGGAAACAGTCGCTGCGAAATTCGCCCGAGTTGAAATGCGTTCAACTTTTGCGAAATCGCAGCGCGAATACTTGCCGTGACGTCACAGATTTCGCATTCGCTTTCGCATACAGTATGAACCGGACTTTAGTACTTTTTAGCCGCAAGCCTTGCGCATCTTTTGACACCAAAAATATAAGAAATCGGACCAGGGGTTGTCGCGCAGCGAAAATTAAAAAAAAAAAAAAAAATTCCCATTATACGCTGTGTACACAGACCAGAATTACCATTCGTACTTATGAATAATTAATTAGTCATAATTCCAAAACCCTTTGACCTATAGTCATGAAATTTCTCGGGTATGTTCATGGCTCTCCATGATGCATGTATCGAGTTAAAAAAAAAATTCGGCACTCGATGGCCGAGATCATACGGGGGCGGAATCGCCCCCCCCCCCCCCGGCTGAGAGATGGTCAAAATAACCCGGCCCTTTTGGTTAAGTGCTTTTGTCATCGTTCATCCGTCCGTCCGTATTAATTGATTGATCGATTGGTTGTGTATAGACATTATCTATTTATAAGAACAATTTGCACAATATATGTTTTACCTTTCTTTTGCAACCAGCCATCCACATTTGGATTCCATTGAGGGTCTGCAACTGGCAGCACTTGCGTGGTCTTCGGAAGTGGCCAAGCATGCTCGCAATGGTTCCAACCATGGCTGTCCTCTGCTTGTCTGTTTTCTTCTTACTCTTCATGACACATCCTTGCAGGGCAGCAAGGAGAGCCGGACATTCTGTTGCGAGGTTTTGCTCAATCTCCTCAAAATTATATGCCTTCAAGTCGGGAAGATTAAGGCTGGAGTCACACAAAGCAGAGCCACCATCATTTAAAACAAACTGGAAACTTTTGTGCACTTCATCTCTGATTAGTCTAAAAAAATCAGACTTTGCTCTATTACTGCTGCTGATAAGTTCTTTAAAGCCAGAATAATACCTTGACCTTTGAATAGACCTCACAGCTTTGGTCTTGGCAGACATTCGACGAGAAGTCTGTAATGATATAAATGATAAACACATTGAATAATTCAACACTGCATAATTTTTTCAATACGAGCCCCTTGTCACTCATCTCCACGTATTCTCCACATTCATTTCGTATAAACACTTTTGTGCGTATAATTTCAAATAGAGAACTTTAAACCCGGTTGGCTTCTGGCTTATATGAAATTATGTAAGGTACTGATGACTTTAAATAAAATAAGGTTGTGTACAGTTGGAAGAGTCTAACTTTCCTAATTCTGGCCGAAATAAGTGCATGTTAATAAAAACAATCATTATTAAGAAGTAATGACAGCATTGACTTTCACAGGATTATGTACATTTGTACTTGACTAGTATGGGTTGAGGGCTTATCCAAATCTTACCTGCGCCATGATGTTGGAATGAAGTGTGGTATGTGGAATGCAAACACGCCCAAGAAGTCAGTTATGCATAAATGACCGCGCATGAATAATTATACGAGAACTCTGTCTTACTGCCGGTACTCTACATTATACGAACGCTAAAACATTTCACAATGTTCATGAGATGTGTATAAATAATAATTTGTTCGTATTTAGGAATTATCAATTTTCACAATTTTTCAATAAAGATAACCAATATCTAAGGAAAACACCATCCCATTACGATTTTTTTTTCATCTTTTATTTGCAAAACCAATCCATGATTTCCTACGGCCACCGTATCATCCATTGTATTTTAACGTTATATGTTCAACAGAGGGCGCTATGTTCTTTTGGCCATCGGATAAAAAATGCGTAGGCTGCAAGGTACTCGCTGAGTTTTACCCACAATGCAGTACGAATGACACGACCTTTGACAGAACGTGCAGAAAGACGAGGGTGAACTTCTTGCTGCCAATAACATACTTAAAAATTGGATTTAAGGTCTAAAATTTCGCAGGCGACATGCTTGTAGCTACAACATATTGATGTACGTGGTGTGTGGGTGTTAATTAGCCGAACGGTGAGTAAAAAAACGTCAGTAGAAATTTTGCACGTTTTCATGCACCTACGGTCCCAGTCTGATTAGGCCCCAAAGCCAAACTACAAATAACATGAAGAAATGTGTTTTATTTCTCTATGCCTTGCTCTAAACTTATACCCAGTGACTTCTAGGTATCCTACATACATTAATGATTGCCCTTACTAACTGTTAATCAACCCAAAAGATGATAAAACGAAATATTTACCAAGGCGATCTTGCTCCCAACTCGTCATGATTCCGGGCATTGTGCTGTGCATGCATAGCGCGCGAAAAGTGGTCGAAAGGAAGGGCGCCCTCTGGGACGCAGCGGGTATAACATTGATAAACGATTCCCCACATTAATAAAAGCTAACAGCACCTGTCCTCCAGTAGCAAAGTTTGCTGTCATTCCATCAGATTGGTGGAGTTTGGGTTTTAGGATGTGTGTGGCAACCCTCTCCATATCTGATGTTACAGGTGCCGATAGGGGTCTCTCTAGAATGTCTTGAAAGCTGGATTGGTGTGGTTGATGGAGTATTGGCGGACAAGGTGGCTTTGATGGGCGCCCTGGTCCTCTTTTCCGTTTCTTTGCCCCCCCCCCTTTGCATTGACCTTGAAACCTTGAGCATACCATGCACTCATCTGAATAGAGTGACCATTCGACTGGTATGTCAGGGTGGCGGGTGGTGTAGCCCGTCCTTGACAGGCATGACTGGCAGATGATTTGGGGTGCACAAGGGGATTGTCCCCTGATGTATCAATAGAAAATGTATTCCTAATCCCTGCACTAATACTAAGTGATATTGTGATCTTAGTTTTTCCCTTGTTTTTGTCGGAAAGACTCCTGTTGCGTTTACCGCAAACACGACACAAGGCATTCAAAACCTCTATATGGTGCTCCATTTTTGTGCTTCTGAAAATCAGCAAAAAGAAAACCCATTGACTCACTGAGTATAAGAGCCTGCCTATGTGTAAAACCTTGTTTATCATTCGTGAAAACTCCAAATACTGAGAAAAATATGGTACAATTTAGCAATTTTTCATCGAAAATCGCATGCATTTTTACATCCTTAGCAACCACCAATTCTTTAATTTTTACCCAATACGAATGTCTTGTGTTTCGTTTACAATTAAATCAAGTAATTTCAAGGATTAACCCCTATAGAAAATTGTATTGTACCGTGATTTCGCTTTGAAAACCCCGCGAAAGGCTGATTTACATTTTATTGTTTACATGGGCGTGGCCCCGTCGTTAAGCAGTGTTGAGGTCAAATTTTAGTCACTCAGAATTCACGCATGCGCAGTGCTCTCAAACTAGATGAACGCACGGTCTATGGGCCGTGCAAGTACGTGTCCCTTCAACAGGTCCAAACATGTTTGCTACTATGCCGCCAGGAGTACCAACTGATTGAAACTTCAGCGAATGAATTCTTGTATGGCCATTATAGCATACTCGCTGGTTTCTCGTGGGTCTGCAGATGGGACGAACAGTTCCATCGATGAAGCCTATACAGTTCACAAGCGGTGCACCTTTCCGATGAATAGCATCAGCATACTGTAACATACATCTGTAATTTATTAAGTAGCCAAGGTTGGTCTAAGTTTGTGAGGAGGTGTTCATGCTGTTCATACACATGATTGAGTGTACAGTTAATTATCATTGACAGGGTTGATTTAGGCCGTCCGAAAAATGGCTCCAAATCTGCAAGTCTGTTCGGGTAAACAAACCGTCTCAGAAGGATACACAGACTCTCGACTCTATCAGCAACAGTTCTATTAGGGCAGAATATCCTTTCTGGCACGTGTAAACTATAAGCAAGCTGCCGGATCGCCTGTGTAAATTTAAGAGATACAAATATGAAAAGGATGATATTAGTGTGCAACTCTTTTTAAAATTGCATGCAGATTCTCAAGCCAGTGGTGAGACTGACAAAAAAATGCACAATTCAGAAAACCCATGGAGAATCAGCACAACATTTCATGAGGACCCACATCAACATACAGGGCATTATTTTGCAGTTCGTTATGTTTGCAGTTGCCTAAACAAAGGCACCCCTATCACTCATCTGCATGTTAAAAAATGCCATTTAATTCAGGTTTTCTATTACATGTCAACAACCTGACAACCTGAAAACAAGTCTAGCATTGGCTTTTCATGCCCATGAGTTTCAGGACACACTTTGGCAAACAGATAACTGTTATTATCGATTGCTTCGAAATATTTTTAGAAAGGCCGTCCAATCTTGCAGCATGAACGTCAACATGGTCTTCGTACAAACACAACAACACTGTTAAATACTTAATCGGCATCACCCCTCAAGGAGTCATATCTTATTTATCACAAGGCTTGGGTGGAAGAGCAAGCGACAAATACGTGGTTGAACATTCATCTTTCCTCCACAAGTTGTGTCCAGGGGATGTTGTGATGGCAGACAGGGGATTTGATGTTTCAGACAGCGTTGGAATGATGGGTGCTAAGCTTGTACTCCCTGCATTTAGAAGAGATGGGCCACGACTATCTGGAGAGCAAGTTGAAAACACGCGCAGAGTAGCAAACTCCAGAATTCATGTGGAGCGAGTTATAGGACATCTGCGCCAGAAATATACCATCCTCCACAGCACAATTCCCATGGATTTTGTCATTTCCAGAGATGATAATGTTACACTTCTGGACAAAATCACCGTTGTATCTTGTTCTATGACCAACATGTGCCCATCAGTTGTTCCTTTTGACTGAATGGATTTTTGCTTTTCCAGACACAAGTGTCATTGAAGCAATTTTTCAATCTTTATTGCCTATTTTTCTTCCATGTCATAACAATTTTAGAACAAGTCTCCCTCTGCTTGAGTCTCAAGTTAAGTCCAGTCTAACTGCCTTCGAGTGCCAAGTCAAGTAAAACTCATGTACGTGTTCATGTACCTTCGAATCCCTAGTCAAATCAAATCAACACAGGCATGTTGGTGAAGTCGGGTCAAGTCAAGTTGTCACTGCAGTAACTTCGTTCAAGCTAATTTTAAATTGTTATCTTTAAAAAAATATCCGTTTTGGCAGACTCGAGTCAGAGTTAAGTCGAGTTATTTCTGACAGTGATTCGAATCCAAGTCAAGTCATTTGAAAAAGTGAAGCGAATCCAAGTCAAGTCATTTGAGGTTGGATACTTGAGTCGATTTGAGTCCCGAGTCTCGAGTCCAAGTCATTACAACACTCTGTCATAATAGCATAGATGCTATTTGTTGTGGTGCGGCCTGATCGAAAACGAAACCATTTCTTGCTGGATGATTGTGCTCTTGTTGCCTTTTCTACATTGTCTGCCTCCTCTTGGGTAATTGTCAGCTGAAATTCATTGCATCTGTTGAGCAGGTCAGGAAATGAGAGAGTTGAGTACTGAGGGTTATACAGATCGGTTAGAATTGGTGGAAGAATGTTGTCAGTATGTGATGGTTTGAATTGGTGGCAGTGTTCAGGTACAACGCTGAGGAGTGCCGGCTTAGTTCCTGTTGCATTCATCTGCGAGAAGAGGGTTGTGAGTTCAGCATCAGTAGGCCCAGGAAATATCTTCCGCACCTTGCTCCGTGGATGTGGCATCAAACCATCATTAACTAACTTATCAAGCTTCCTCTTTTTGGTTTTGGCTGATGTGAAGTCTATTTGAGCTACAGGTAAGTATTGGGCATCCTTTACAGCAGATGGAATCTTCCAGTAAGCTGGTTCCTGTGTTACTGTTTTGCTATCTCTGATACGCACCTTTGTGTCAATGTAAAACATCAAAGCACTGACATGAGTACAAGCCTCTCCGAGACCAGCAATGCAGTTGCAGTGGGTTGCGATGATCTTCCCACACTTTTCTGCAATTAACCATGGCTTGAGTGCCGCCTCCCGCAGTCTCTGTGAATGCATCACCTGCAAGTGTTAAGAAAAAAGTTACAACATATTTTCAGTAAACCAAACAGAAAGAATATCACACGAAGTAACATGCCCAAGACCAATGTTCAAAATATGGAATGTAAAGCTCTGATATTTTTTTCCTTAAAAAGTTGTATATTTCATAACAAGGATAATTAAAGACTTGCACTGTATTAAAGTAGCATCTTCTTATGGTGTGCACTGATGGGGAGTGAATTACAGAAAGTTTACATTAAGGGCACATAATTTTTTTTCCACCAAGTCATAGTTTATTACCTTTGCGTTAACAACGTGCTTGCTGTTGATGACGGTAGAAACGACATCACGAACCCATCCACTTACGAATTGGTTGTACGCATCCAGGCCTTTATAGCATTTCAAGTCCTCCAAAGTGTATGGACTAGGAGTATACACTAGAAATTAACAATGTCAGGATACGATATTTGAGGAAGAGAATGTGGATCCTCTTTCAATGACCGCAAACTAATTGTGTATGGATCAATGTCATCAATACACTGCAGAATCTTGTTATATCGGACTTTTGCAGGGCCATCCAGGGCTTGGTAGTATGTTGATCTTGCTGCCATGATAACAGGTTTACATACAGTCAACTGCGAAATAAAAACAGAACACAAAAAAAGCAAAATTAATGGTGCTCAATCTGCAGAGTAATCTGCAAAGGCTAAGTGCAGTTCAGATGGGATACAAATTAGCAATGAAAAATGTGATGATTTCACTATGAGTAGGAAAAACCTAAATATTCAGCCTGTCTCATGTTTTGTACAAAAGAAATGTCATTATGGTCAAATAATACTGAACTAACGCTTGGGCTAGGCTAGTCTCGATTTAGATCCTCTGTATAATGCGTTATTTACATTTGGACGTGTATTGCAGTAAACAACGCATTATACAGAGGATCAAAATCGAGAATAGGGCTAGGCCTGAGTCAAACAATACATGAACAAAACATATTTACAAAGTTCCAATGAAATTCTATTTTGGCGTTATATTCTGATTTTTTTTTCGAAGTGCACAATGACAATGAACTCTTTTAAAATGCGCCCCAAAACATGAAAATGATTTCTTTACAAACTGGAGGTTACAATGATTTATCTGAATTTATCAATTTTAAAGA